GTCTTCTCCCAGTAATCCTCGAACACCTTATCAATCAAGAACCTATCTATGTCTGACTTAAATACACTCAATGACTTAGTCTCCACAGCCTTCTGTGACAATGAGTTTCACAGATTCACCACCTCTAACTGAAGAAATTTCTACTCATCTCAGTCCTAAAGGATTGTCCCTTCATTCTGAGGCTGTACCCTTGGGTTCTAGTCTCTCCCACTAGTGGAAACGTCTTCTCCAATGTCCACTCTATCCAGGCTTCTCAGTACTTTGTAAGTTTCAATCAGACCTTGCTTCATCCTTCTAAACTCCAGAGTCTTCACCCACTCCTCATTCAACAAGCACTTTATCCCCAGGATTGTAAACCTCCTCCGGACCCCCTCCAATGCCAGCATATCCTTCCCTAGACATGGGACCCAAAACTATTCACAATATCCCAAATGCAGTCTGACCAGAGCCTTATACAACCTGCTCTTGTACATCTCTGCTCTTGTATTCCAGCTCTCTTGAAATTAACATTAACATTGCATTTGCCTTCCTGGCTGCTAACTGAACCTGCATGTTAAGCTTAAGAGAATCCTGAACTTGGACTCTCAAGTCCCTTTGTGCTTCAGATTTCTCCACTTAGAAAGAAGTCTATGCCTCTGTTTCTTCTTAAAAAAGTGCATAACCTCACACTTTCCCACATTGTTTTCCATCCCTTGTTAACATATGCATCAAATCCCTCTCTCCCTCCATATCCTTTAGAGTTGTAGCCTTTATTTCAGATTGTCTCTCCATATTCTTACAACTAAAATAAATTATCTCACATTTCTTTGCACTGAATGTCACCCTATCCACCCACTCCACCATCTTGTCCATGTCCCTTCTGAAGTCCTACACTACTCTCCTCACAGTTGACAATATTTCCAAGTTTTGTATCATCCCTAAATGTTGAAATTGTGTCCTGTACACCTAGGCTTACATCATTAATATATATTAGGAAAAGCAACACTGACCCCTGAGGAATTCCACTACAAACCTTCCTCCAGCCTGAAGATCATCCATTAACCACTACATTTTATTTCCTAATACTCAGTCAATGTCACATTCATGGTGCTTTTGTCCCTTTTATTCATGTCCTCTAACTTTACTATCAAGTCTGATGTGCAGTACTATATCAAATGCCTTCTGAAAATCCATCTACACATCAAAAATATTGTCCTCACCACCGTTTTGTACCTTTTCAAGAAACTCCAGCAGGTTAGATTGACATGATTTTGCCTGAGGAAATCTACAATGGCTTTCTTTAATTAACCCATGTTAGTCCATGAGCCTATTAATTTTGTCCCAAATTATTGCTTCCAGAAGTTTCTCCGCCAGTGATGGTGATCTGACTGGCCTGTAATTGCTGGGCTTCACTTCAGACTCTTCTTTGAACAAAAGTATGATGTTTGTAAGTCTCCCTATCTGCCACCACCCTGAATCTAAGGAAGACTGAAACATTTTGGTAGTTTTTTCACAATTTCCACTCTCACTTCCCTAAGTATTCTTTGATGTATCTTACTGGTTCTGGTTCCTCATCTTTAAGTACAGACAGCATATCCTATACTTCTTTCTTATCAATTGTAACCCTTCTAGTGTCTGAGTTTCCTCCTCTTTCACTGTGACCAAAGCAGAAATTTAGCGAAGAAGTAGATTTTATTAAACTGGAGAGGATTCAGAAGAGATTTGCCAGGACGTTGCTGGGAATGGATGGTTTGAGTTATAAAGAAAGGCTGGATAGGCTGGGACTTTTTACAATGGAGCATAGGAGGTTGAGAGGTACTCTTATAGAAATTTATAAAATTGAGATGGTTGTAAATAAGGTTAATGGTAGATGTCTTTTCCCTAGGATGGAGGAATTTCAAGACTGGGGGATACATTTTTAAGGTGAGAGGAGAGACATTTAAAAAAGACATGAGGGACAATTTTTTTTTACACAGAGGGTGGTTTGCATGTGGAATGAACTTCCTGAGGAAGTCGTGGATGTGGGCACAATTACAGTGTTTAAAAGACATTTGGATAAGAACATGAATAGGAAAGATTTGGAGGGGTATGGGCCAGAAGTAGGTGAGACTAGTTTAGTTTGGGATCATGTTCGGCATGGACAGGTTGGATTGAAAGGTTTGTTTCTGTGCTATATGACTGTATGACTCTATTAATTTAGTACCTTAGCTATGCCCCCTCTTCCAAGTGAAGGTTTCCTTTTTGGTCATGAATCAGCCATACTCCTCCTTTTACAACCATTTTATTATTTATATCATAATAGATTTTGGTATTCCCTTTAACGTTAGCTGCTAGTCTTTTCTCATAATCCCTCCACGCTTCTTTTATTTGCTTTCTCTCCTCCGTGGTGTCATGCATTAATGAAGGTTTATGTTGTACTGCTGCGAATCAGGTGAATATACTCAAGTGGAGACCATTCAGCCCATCATGTCTGTGAACCACTTCAGAACAGCAATCCCTGCCCCTGCTCTTTCCTCATAGCCCTGTAAGTTTTATCTTTTCATTGCTGTTACCTTAATTCATTTTGAATGTTAACTACTGAATCTGCTGCCTCCACCTTCCACAGCACATTCAGATTGTAACAACTCAATGTTTAAAACAAAATCACAGGAGAGGGCATTGGAGCCAGAAAGACATTTCACGGTTTTGGTTGTTTTGGAATCAAATAAACGAAACATAGCAACAAATGGTCAGACTATGGTAGAGACATCAGTTGGATCTGTTATGTTCTCATCCAATGTTCAGACATAAATCCAGCAAGACCTGATCAGCAATGGTAATTCTCGCTGATGCTTTTTTTCACCCACAGACTGCAAAGAGTCTGGATTTGCAAATATGAAGCATGGAGAATCACTGCGGTTCACTCTTTATTGACAACCATCAGAGGGACTGAATCATTATCTATATATCACTTTAAAAGCTTAAACGAGTAATGGCTGCTTGTCATAATCCCAACCAATAGAATATTGCTGCTAATTAGTGGTGGCCAATTATATTGTTTATAGGATTGATGGGAAGAAACTTTTGGGACAATAGCATGATTGAACTGATTTAGCACCAGAGCTGATATGATTAGTTGGTTGGATTATTTATTCATTGTTTTCAGTTGTGTAAATCTTAGCTCACGCTTTTGGCGCAGTTGTTTTTGTTTAGCAAAATAAATACCTAAAGCCATTCTCAACATTCAAACAGTAGTAGCCAGAAAAATAAGAAGCTTCAATCGATTGTCATTATTTTGGCTGCTGTCTCCCATTCCTATTGTTTCCCTCACAACCACACACAATGCTCCAGTTGCTACTCACCCACCCCCTCCCAGTTTGCCAGGGTCAAACTCAAAAGATCAAGTGATTGACTGAAGGGGGTAAAAGATGGAAAGGGAAAAGAGGACAGGAGATGGAAGAAGGGGAAGTGGAAAGAGTGGAGAAGGGGCTAAAGAGGGGAGGGGAAGAGAAGGTGGGGAAGCGAGAGAACGAAGGAAGGAGGAAGAAGGGAAAGGGAGGGAGGGGAAAAGGGAGGACGAAGAGAGGAAAGGAAGGGAGGAGGAAAGGAGAAAGGAAAGAGAGGGGGAAGAGGGACAGGTAGGACAAGAGGGGTAGGGAGAAGGGGGAGAGAGAGGGCAGTGGAATAGGGAGAGATGTGGTAAAAGGTGGGTGAAGGAGGGTGGGAAAAAGAACATGAGAGGAAGGGTGGGGGAATGATGGAAAGGGTGAAAGAGAAATGAAGTGGAAGAAAGTAAAAGGGGAAAGGGAGAAAGGGGGAAGAGGATTGCAAGGGGAGGCCCCTCCCATCAGATTATTCAGTCAGATCTGGTGAATGAATGCAGCTGTGCTTGGAAATGCAGAAATGTAATCCTCACAGTCTGAAAGCAATCCTCCCTGCAGTTGAGATCCCACAAAGACAGGGACTGAGATCCCAAAAAGTTAGTGAAATAATTTCACAGTATGCTGTTACCAAATCACTCTTTAGTTACACGTGGAGAGTCCTTGACACTGACCCAGCTTCTTCAGAACCAGGTCCCAGAGTGAACAGAACCTCTGACACTCCTGTTTATATCTGTCAGCCAGGGCTCCCTGATTGGAGCAGATTAACAGCCCCAATCAGGGAACTCATATTCTATGAAGTCCACCTGGCTGACCTTGTTACACTCAGTGCAGATAGGGACTGAGATCTCCTGCATTAATTCACTTCAAAGCTAATATGAAATCTTTCCCCAATTTACACCTCTAACCTGTCAGCTCAGAAACTTCCAATCTTTTTTTCCCCCCTTACTACCCATCAAGGCCTCCAAATCGTGAACTTTCCAAATTAAATGGAGAGAATGTTGGAATTGTGCAGGTTGGATAGGAGGGGGGAGTAAGTGCGGTGGGGAGTAGTTTATATTCACATGCTGTTATCTCAATACTCAGTTTCCCCCACCCCTTCCCCTTATCCCTGATCCCGCCCCAGTCTAGGTCACAGTACGGTGTTATTCTCATAGAAATGAAGGACGTCTGCCAATGGAAACGGTCTCTTCTGACCCGAGTTTAAGTGAGACACTCTCAAGTCACTCCCAGTTTATGTAAATCCTACTAACTCCTTACCCCGGGAGCATTCTCCCTCAACTTTGGCACTACCTCTCCCACTCTCTCTCTATTATCCCCTCGACCTTTCCCACGTTCCCGTTTGTTCTAAGATCCTCCTCCGATCCTGTTCCGTTTGTTCTTTTCGGTGTGTGGTTGGGAAAGGACAGTGAAAAGTCTCGCACTCGCCGTTTGCCAGAGCGGAAACAAGGTGTTTTGGAAACGAAAGACGAGGAAATGGAAGCAAAGTTAAGATTAAACCGCTTCCAAGAAAACAAAAGTTCTTTTTTAAACAATAAAAGGATCGTAAAATTTCCCCTTGTGACTAGCAATCACGAGCGCAATGCATGTAAAAATGAACAAAGTCACAATGTGTAAGATATTGTCAATTCAAATGCAAGGAGAAAGTTTATATTTTCTTACCGTTAACAGACGCTGATTATCAGTCTCGCTTTTTTTCTCTCCGAATTAACCGAATATGCTGCTCAACATTTGCAAAGAATGTGAAGGTCTTTCTCTCCCTTGGGCTTTCTGGTACCGTGCAACCTTCCCCGTGTCCCTCAGGAATGTTTACTCCTGGTTTTATTTCCTTTATCCTATACCCGTCCCGCGCGCTCCCGGCTGCATTGTAACGATCCAATTGCAAGAAGTTTCTCTTTGGTCGTAGGGAACAGCGAATGTTGATCTTCACGCTGGAAATCTCTCTGTTCTGTTTATTTCTCCCTCTCTGTCAGCAGGTTGAGGATTTCCCTTTTATGTTACGTTTAATCCTGGTTTGAGGAATTTCCTTGCCGAGGTTAGACTCTTTCCCAGTCCTGATTTCCAGCCTCTAGGCTGGGCTGTGTTTGTGTGTGTGTGTAATTCCTGAGTCTCAGGTCCAGATCATAGCTCCCACTGTCTGTCCGATGGCACAGCCGCCGCAGCTGCTGGAGTTAGGATCTCACTTGTGGCTGGGGCACTGGGAATCTTCACTCCCAGGAGTTGGACATCTGGGAATTTCCCATAAGTCATCGCGACCACAGGACCACACAATCAGAGATATCTAAAACAAAAGGCCCGGATCAAAATATAGAAACCTCAGATTCAGCTCTAATCTTTACTGCTCGCCTTTACACACGAGTATACAATAACTTATAGGTTGCACCTTAAATATCATACCCAGATTTTGTCCAAAATAGATAAAGCATGAACCCATACATATATAAATTTAAATCTGTGCATAATGAAACCATGTATATTCAAATACATACAGAATGAATGTTTTCAAATCCACGTGTAATAAGTTCGCATATACTGAAAACAACATATATTTAAACCAAATGTACTTGAAACCAAATGAAATGGAAGTATTTATTCCAAATCTATATATTGTATGCACAATTGAATATATTCAAATCTTTATATATTTTATCATACATATTCAAAACGATTTATATTCAAATCCACACATTAAATGATCTATATATATTTAAATCCATACATATTAAATTGATTTATATTCAAATCCATATTTATTGAATCCATATATATTCAAACCTATGCACATTCAAATCATTCATATTGAATCCATATATAATTTAGATCTATATATGTAGACTACATATGTATTTAAATCCCATTCTACAACATATCCATACATGTTCAAGTCCACATATATAATCAAAACTACATATTTAAATTTATGTTTACAGATGAATGTATGTTATTATAGTAATTACCTGGTTTATTATTATGTCTATATTGAATACATCTACAGATCATTGAAACAACTGCCGGTTGGGTCAAACCGATTTGGAGTGGAAGTGCAGATTCCACGAGCTATATGAATGCAGTAGATTTCTGACTAAGCTCTAAACCCAGGGCAGTCCTTGCAGTGACAATAGACTTTTATCTGGCGCACAGGCAGAGGTGGAGAGGTGGCTGGCACTGGAACAGGAATAGCTCCCATTGATCCTTTGGAGAGGGGAGGGAGCGACCGGCTTCCTTTGGACAGAGAGTCCGAGAGAAGGGCTCCTGTGGCGCAGTGGTGGTGTCCCTACTTCTGAGCCTGGAGGTCTGAGTTCAAGTCCCGCCTGTTGCAGAGATGTGTAATAACATCTCTGAACAGGTTGGTTAGGGAACATCAGAGGCTTAGATAAAGCCAGCAACAGAGCAGAAACTCTCCTCCCTACTCTGCGCCGCATTTAGACAAATTAATCCGCCGTAGTTTAGACGGAACAAGCGAAATTCCAGAAACTTGTAAAGATTGCGAGGAATTCAAGTGAATTCATCTCTCTCTGTCTCACACACACATACAAAGGTGACAGTCTGGGGGTGGGGGGTGTCAGAGAGAGGGCGGGGTGGAATCAGAGAGAAAGAAGTTGAAATTCTCACCTCATCCCAGGAAATTCGGGTTGCTTATGGATCCGGGTTGGATGGGAGAGCGGGTGGCGTGCGGGGAAAGTTTATTCAACAGACGGGGCAGGGGTCGGTAACTAACAGCGGGTTTAACAATCTGCCTCAGATGCCAACGGGATCAGGAGCAAACTGATGGAAGGCGACAGGGAATCTCCCAGAGTGGCGCTCAGCTGTTTAAATAGCGCTGCAGAAAAGATCAGGAGGAACCGTGACTGTTGGATTGAGGCTATACACGGTTAATTCACTGAGCTCCTGGGTCGGGTCACTGAGCGGGACAGGGGTTTGAAGAGGGCTACATTGTGCAGGATAATCTCATCCCCCCCCCCCCAAAAAAAAAACTGGAACTCCTGAAATCTGCCTTGATTCCCAGATAGCACCCGCAGCTAAGTAGCTACCTCCCCATCCTCATCAGTTCAATGGAAGTGGAAAAGCAAGTCTCGCTCAATCTGATTCGATTCGTATCTCGGGTTTTATTTTAATTGTGGTTTCTTATGTATCAATCACTTAACAGAAATAGAGAGAGAGAGATAGAGAAAGGCAGAGGTAAAGAGAGACAGAGAATGATGCAGGTACATAGAGACAGGGGAAAAAAACAGAGACAGAAAGAAAGACAGAAATAGGGAGAGGGGCAGAGCGGTAGAGATACATAGAGACAGAGAGAAATACACACAGAAACAGAAATAGAGAAGAAGACAAAGAGAATTAAAGACACGAGAGGCAGAGGTGCACAGAGACAGACAGAAATACACACACACAGAAATAGACAAAGACAGAATTAGAGACAGAGGCAGAGGTACATAGAAACGGAGACAAATATAGTAGAAATAAAGAGACAGAAATAGAGACAGAGGTACATAGAGGCAGGAACATATACAAAGACAGGAATAAAGACAGAAATAGAGGCAGAGACGCATAGAAACAGAGAAACAAATACAGAGACAATTCAGAGGAGTAGAGACAGAGACAAAGAGACAGAAATAGGGAGAGAAAGGGACGGGGGAGAGAGAGACGGGAGCAGAGCAGGTAAGAAGAGACAGAAATGCGGAGACACAGAAAGACAGAGGGAGAGGGGCACAGGGGCACACAGGCAGCGTAAGATAGCTGGAGGGTGAGTGAGAGAGAGATGGCGAGTAATAGAGGGAGACCCGCACACAGAGAGACACACAGCTACAGACAGATGGTGCATTTACTGCAGGAGTGAGCTACAGAAAAATCCATTTAAAGGGATCATCAACAAAATCACTTCTGCTAATGAAAGACAGAACAGAATAAGATGTTTGTCATCCATCACCCTGTATTTCTCCTCCTGCGAAGCTGTGTGAAGGTGAGGGCGTTTTCCTTCTGTCCTTCTCCCCATTCCCTTTATCTTTGTTCTCTCGCTCTTTTTTTTTGTTCTGTTCTTTGGGGCTTGGGGAGTCTCTCTCCTGACGTCACATGGAATGTTGCGCTGGTCACGTGGCGGCGGGGAATCCCCGGCAGGGAAACCCCCCCACACCCCCCTTCCCTCTCTGTGTGTATCCAGGCTGCAACTACTACGCCCTCAACTCTCTCTGTTTCTGCGATGGAACACCAACTCAAGGCATCATTCCCCAGCTGATAGGCTCAATTTAATGTCAGTATGCCAAGCGCGCTTCTAACACGAAATGGGAATGTGGCAGGACCTACTGATCTGTAAAGTCGTTTTAGCAGAATTATATTTTATTCATAAATATCTATAAATAGGTATCGAAGGTCCAAAACAATTCCGTGCAGACTTTGCTGAAAAGACAGTGGAATTTTGACATTCCCCATAACAGCTTCAATCCAGTTGCAACAAAAAGGCATTTTCTAATCATGAAAAGAAACCATTTACACCCCAACAAAAAAAACCCCTCCCGCCCCCCCCCCCCCCCCCCATCCAGGACATCTGGGAACTTAATAAACCTTCGTCATATTTGGCAGAAGGACCTCAGACTGCGGCCTTTTCCCACCAGTAATGGTGCTGTTCACACACCCATACTGACACCCAGCAGGTCTGTGTGTGTTTGTGTTTGCAGGAAGTCACGATTTCTCATTCGTTTTAAAGATGTTTTAAAGCATTCCCACACACAGTGACCCAGAGAGGACAGGCAGCTCAGTCAGAGGCGTGTGAGTCACAGAGACTCAGGACGTAGAAACAGGAGTAGGCCATTCAGCCCTTCCAGCCTGTTCCACTATTCGATGAGATATTGGCTGATCTGTGTCCTCACTCCATATATATGCTTTTGGCCCATATTCTTTAATACTTCTGCTTCTCAAGAATGTATCTATCTCAGATTTACAACGAACAACTGATCTAACATCCACTGCCATTTGTGGATTAGAGTTTCAACTCTCTTTGTGGGTCAAAGTGTTTCCCAACATCTCTCCTGAATGGTATGGGTCTAATTCTCAAACTATGCTCCCTAGTTCTGGCATAGTCAACCAGTGGAAATAGGTTGTCTTTATTTACCCTGTTAATATCATGAAGACTTTGATCAGGCCATCCCTTAACCTTCAAAGGTTCTAAATTCGAGAGATGCAATCAGGGACTCAAGTCTGATGTTCCAGTGCCAGGTTTGGGAAGGTGCTGAGCAAATGATGGAATGAAGACAGAGAACCCTTTATGGGTCGATGAACTTTCAAACAGTGTTTTAATGTTAATTCTGTTGCTCTGTACATAGATGTTGTTGGGTTTGCTGAGCATTGCCAAAGTTTTAAATCTCCAGCCTCAGCAACATGTTGCTGTGGTACTAAGTGGGTGCTGTGAGGGGGAGTTTAAACCCCTTCCCTTTTGTGGGAGGGAGGAGTTGGTACTTTATTCAAAGGAATAGGGGCATTACCCCAGATGCCCTGACCAATACTTACCCTCAAATCACAGAATGAGGGACATTTTCACAGAGCCATTCGCACGATGAGCATCATGGTGTATAACCATTCTCTCTGCACATTGTTACTGTTTGAGTGATTACCTGGCAGTCTCCTGAATATTTCAATTGAACCTGCCTCCACCAGACTTCCAGTGAAGCCTCAAACTACTCGTTATGTGAAAAGGTTTTCTCTCAGTACTGTACTGGAGTGTCAACCTTGATTATTCTGCTTATATCTTGCAGTGAATCCATCTTACCAGAAGGTGACAG